CCATTCAAGCCGTCTCCAACCATTATTAGTCTCAAAGTGGGTTCCTTGTCATTGAACATAAACACTGTATTCGAAAAACAAAATAAAATATTATTTCTTTTCATGAAATTCCCACGTCCAGAATGTATGTTGACAAATAGATTATTTATATTTTGCTTCCAAACAGTGCACTGTCCACAAATATTTTTCACAATAAATAAAGTACTCGTGTACAGTGTATTCAATGACACAAATGTTCACTTATTTTATGCCAGTTCTAGTTACAATATTCATTTATACATAGGGGGCCGGGCATGGCCAAGTGGTTAGCCTGCTCGGACTATCAATCCAAGGAATCATGGTTTGCAGCCCGTTCTTGCCACAATGCACTCGGTAGTTTTGAACTGTGGTGTGTTATAAGTTTGGTGTAAGACTCCATTGGTTGGAGTTTAGTTAGGTGAGAAAACGGACGACTTTTGGTCAGTCCTTAAGGGATTAGGAGATTACAGCACTCTAAGTCGTTAGACAATTATTGTAGAGAACGACCATCTTTCTTGTTTAGCCACTGTGGAGATTGAGGAACCTTCTATGATTATGAGACGTTGTAATTCGATATTAGAGAAATAGGTGTGTTCAGAGTGGGTGTTGAGAAAGGGTTATAAAAATTAGGAGTTTAATAGTTTGGTTTGTTTTGAATTTCGCGCAAAGCTACACGAGAGATATCTACGTTAGCCGTCACTAATTTAGCAGTGATAGACTAGAAGGAAAGGAGCTAGTCAACACTACCCACCGCCAACTCTTGAGCTACTCTTTTACCAACGAATAGTGGGATTGACGGTCACATTATAACGTGTTCGGCGACGGGGTTTCGAAATATATTTGAACTGGTAAAGTAAACAAAGTTTTATATATTTGATAAACCAGATAATCAATTTTTCTCCAAAAAGTCACTCACTGTACTGATTGTAAAATAAATATACTTTAATTAATTAAAAAATAAATAAAAACATAAAATACAAATAGCTGAGATAACATGCTTATCAAAAGTATTGAAGTAAAAATACAAGTGGATTGCATTTCCATACTTTGAGAAATTAAGGTGAATCAGTTAGTTATGGTACTGAATCCAAAACCCCAAAATGATTAAGCGTGTCAACGCCTTTTTGTTTAGCCGCTGTGAAGATTAAGGAACCCCTCTGGTTAAGAGACTTTGTAATCCGATATAAGGGAAACAGATGTGTTCGGCGTGGTTTTTGAGAAAGGAATATCAAAGTAAGACCCTTAACACAAGAAAAAAGAAAGACGAGGGGATGTGAGAGAGAAATAATAAACCTAGAGAAAGGCGAAGGAAGAAAGAAATATTGCTAATAAGAAACCAAACCTAGCTCTAAATCCACGTGTTGTTGACTATAGTAATAGACAACAATTTGTTATGTATATCAGTATGAGTCAATTTCTGATAAGAATAAGTATAGTGTTTGATAAAGTTGAAGAGAAAGCGAACAACATGTGTAGCATGACTGTAAAAAGTGGTGTCGGAAGTAGGCGATCTACAACATGGTACACTAAAAGAATGTCGATCACATCACACTATTCACTCAGACAAGTGTGAACAAAGAATTGGAGGCCAAGTCCAATTATTCGACTAAAAGAGCGCCAAAATTGGTGGTGTTTGATGTTAGATAGTTCCCCTCCATCTAGTCTATTACTACCAAAATTAGAGACCGCTAGATAACCCTCGAGTAGCTATGCGCGAAATTCAGCAACAACTCCCTAGTGTCTCAGTTAAATTTAGAATGGTTACGCGCAGATATTCCTTTGAGTAGCTTTACACGAAAATTCCAAAATAAGCAAACAATTTATACTTGGTATAAAATATAGCACGTGTAATGCTTCTTTTTATGTATTTATAATTTCATCTTTTCAAAAATTCTCAACTTTCAACAAAAAAATATTTGTACGACACTCGGTCAATTCCTAGTTTAGTGGATTTCACAAATAAAGATGTTATAGTCAGAGAAGTCGCTGCTAGAGAAAATTTACAATCTTTACATGCATATTTATAGATATTTTTATTGCAATAGTTTAATAACCTACTAATTTGGTAAGTGCATCTTGAGCTGATACGTTTTGACAATAATTTTCAGTTAAGTAACATATTTGGTAATAACGATGTTATCATAACGTCCAAGAAAATTTTTCTCTTTGCATCACAGGAGATTTCAACGATTCTTCTTCAGATCGTGATAGCAGCTGCTTAGGGACAACCAAAAACTGCTTTACTCTTGATGAAATCGACCTTACTTTCACTGCAGAACTATTTGTCTCTAACAATCTTCCACAAGGTAACGTGTTCATCATAGCCCGAGTTCTGGAGCTCTTGAGGGACATAGTAACGATAAAAAAGAAGCCTGAATGATGAAACATACTAAATGTTTCACTGGCTGGTCTTAATGTACAATCATATTCACAAAAGATCACATATATTCTTGCTATTTGACTCACATTTCTTATATAAAATGATATACAAGTGCATGTGTGTGTGTGTGTATCTGTATGTCAATATATATCCGTGTGTGTATCTGTATGTCAGTATATATCTGTGTGTATATGTATATAGGACTTACTGCCTTACATATTATTTGTGTACGTTCACATACAAAATTTATTATCACACCTTAACTCACACATATGTAAAGAAACCGACATTTGTTCACACATTCGTATCCAAGTCATAATTAGCAGATGTATAGGGAAAGCATTAGTCATCTAAGTCTAGCTTAGGTGCTATTTTGTTAAAACTTATAATTTATGCTAGTTGTTTGAAGAACAAAGTTTTTATTTTTGATTTTCTTTTTGGAAGGGGGCTAATGACAAATGCCATGTTTTAGTTTTTATGGGTTTCTAACTATCTTTCTTATTTCATATTCCATTATCTACTCTATCAACTACTATTTTATAGCTTATTTTAACTTTCTTTCTTATTTGCTATTCCATTATTCATTCTATCAACTACTATTTTACAGCTTATTTTAACTTTCTTTCTTATTTGCTATTCCATTATTCATTCTATCAACTACTATTTTACAGCTTATTTTAACTTCCTTTCTTATTCGCTATTCCATTATCTACTCTATCAACTACTATTTTATAGCTTATTCTAACTTCCTTTCTTATTTGCTATTCCATTATCTACTCTATCAACTACTATTTTACAGCTTATTCTAACTTCCTTTCTTATTCGCTATACCATTATCTACTCTATCAACTACTATTTTACAGCTTATTCTAACTTCTTTTTCTATATTTCTCACTACAGACTACAACCTGCTAATGGAACAACCTTTAACTGGTTTTCAACATAGACCTGTTTTGCCATCAGAGGACACTAATGATCTGGATTTCTTATTCAATGAAAATATCCTGTTTTCTGAAAACAACGTAAGCTCTGCATAAAACCTTCCTTAATTATTTTCTATGGGAAATGACATAAATAATGGAGCCCAGTTACTACCAAAAATGCAAACTTTTTGCCTGAAGCTAATCTACTACTGGAACACATCAGGTGAAGGGTTTAAACACTTGATTAATCACTAAGTAATGATTAAAATAGGGGCATGTTTCAGTGATATTTCTTTAAACAACTGTTCACTAAATTGTGTAACATTTCTGTTTGATTACCCTTTACATGTCTGATTTTACTGAAAAATAAACTAACTTTTCACAATTTTCTTTTACATTGTTACTCACCATTCATCATTTCATTGACACTCCCCGTTGGCTCAACGGTAAGTCTGAGGACTTATAACGCTAAAAATCGGGTTTCAATATCTGCGATGTGCAGAACACAGATAGCCCGTTGTGTATCTTTTTCCTTAACAACAAATAAACAAACATTTAACGGACATTGTTACTCGTTATTGGCCATTTTGTTAACACTTACTTACCGGTCGTCATTTCATTGACATTGTTACTCTCCACTAAACGTTTTGTGAAGACCTTTACCCACTGATCGTTATAATAACATTTTAGTCACTAATCGCTATTATTGGACTATTGCCCGGCATGGCCACGTGGTTAGGGCGCTCGACTCGCAATCTGCGGGTCACGGGTTCGAATCCCCATTCCACCAAACATGCTTGCCCTTTCAGCCTTGGGGGCGTTATAATGTGACGGTCAATCCCACTATCCATTGGTAAAAGAGTAGCCCAAGAGTTGGCGGTGGGTGGTGATGACTAGCTGCCTTCCCTCTAGTCTTACACTGCTAAATTAGGGACGGCTAGCGCAGATAGCCCTCGTGTAGCCTTGCGCGAAATTCAGAACAAACAAACAAACAATTGGACTATTAATCACAATTCTTATTTAATTCAAATTTTAAAACACTGTTGTCATTCTAATCAAAATTGTATCGATTATTCCTTTTCGACGCTTTTACTCAGAATTTTAATTTTCTTGACAGTATTACTAAACAGCAGTAACTTAATTCCCTTTTTTTCTCACTGGACATCATTTTCTTGAAACTCTTAATACGCTAATTCTTGTTGTATATGTTTAATCTTTCAACAAATGACGAAGTCTGAAGACTCATAACACATTCTCATCGGGTTTCGATACCCTTGGTGGGCACAGCACAGATAGCCTATTGTTTAGCTTTGTGCTTAAGAAGAAACAAACAACCAAAATCAACAAATGATCATTTCGTATTCTTAAAAGCGGTATTCATGAAATAATTGATTTTTCTATCTTTAAAAATGAATGTATAACATTTTTATCAAACGCAAAAGATGTCCTCTTTACTTTGCTTAAAGGTACTATTTCCTCACAATATAATTTCCAACACTTTAAGCTCTATTAATGTAATTTTAATCTCCAGTTTCTTTTAGAATATAATATTAGCCTTCACGGTACAAATAGTATAGTCAAAACATTGCAACTAGCTTTTCTAACTGAAAATGAACCATGCTAATACATGCTTAATAAATAAACAACCAATTAGGAAGGTACAAATTTGTTTCCCAAATAAATAAATGACTGACATATACACGTCAGAAAGCCATACTAATATGTGTTAAACAAATAAACTACTGGTCAGGAAACCATGCTAAAACATGCTAAACAAATAAACTACTGGTCAGGAAACCATACTAAAACATGCTAAACAAATAAACTACTGGTCAGAAAAGCAACACCAATACATGTTTAACAAATAAACTACTGGTCAGGAAGCACCACCAATACATGTTCAACAAATATAGTACTGGTCAGGACGCAACACCAATAAATCTTTCACAAATAAACTATTGGTCAGGAAGCAACAATGATACACGTTTAACAAATAAACTACTGATCAAGAAGCCACAATAACACAGTCTAATAAATAAACTAGTGGCCAGGAAAGTATACTAAAACATAATTAACAAATAAACTACTGGTCATGAAGCCATGTTAACACATGCATAACAAAAATTATACTACTTGTTCGGAAGCCATATGAGATAAATATGATTTCATAAAAAAGTAACAATATTTCGGTTTTTGTTCTTATTATACATACCAACATTTACTACACTTACAAGGTTTCAGCCGCCCTCCTCACGGCCCCTTGCGCCCCCTCCCGTCACTAAATTCATAATGGGCAGGCAGTAATTTAATTATTCTATCTGGATAAATGCATTTTGGCTTTTATGACTCTCCTGTTTCGAAAAATCAGGTAAAAATCAAGCGTGATGTGACGTGACACACTGGCTTTTATATTTCTCATGTATTGTCAACTTTGTTTGTCTTATTGTCTACTGAAATCATTATTATACATAAATATTATATGTTCCTTGTAAATGTCAATAAACTATGGTTCTGGTCTTCTGTTCTTCCCGAGACTGGTTGTGACGGCCGCATGGGCGGGCGATCTCCTTGTGGTATCTCTGCTCGTGAACCTTTGATCTTGTGTGCCATGTCCAACAACATGAAAACAGCATTTCCGGTCTTCTTCTCAGTCTCTCCTCTCGCTTGATCCGGCAACCCAAATTTTAATCAATATGTGAGCTTCAACTACCATATAAGCCAAGCAAGGGGCGAAGAGAAATTCAACACATTTCTGACCACCCCTGGGTTATTAAACCTAAATACCTACCAGGGTTGGATTGGATTGGATCACCTATCGTTTCTAAGGGAACAAAGTAGTAGTTATATCTTACTAAACGTATCATTACTTTAAACATTTATATTAATTCTTAATTCAACACCAACCCTCGTTTTTTTATAATACCAGACCCTAATATTGCAGAAATTAATAGTACAAGCAAAGAAAAAAAAATTCCTTAAAGGAAGTAAATGCAGGGATGGCATTTGCATCATCTCTACATAATTGCACAGGTACACGGTGTAGTAGAATATTAACAGATTGCTATATGTTAATTCTTGTCTATGCTATTATGTAGGGATAATGCAAATACCATCTCTACATTTACTATAGTTTTGAAAAGTTTTTCTTTACTTGTTTCCTTTTTTCCTAATGCAGTGTTTCAATAGACATAGGAAGGTTGTATTTATAACCAATTTCTAAATACAATGAGGTTCGAACTGTAATATTTATTTTTATCTATTATTGTTGGTAATTGTTATTTTACCCTGTACGTAAGTTTTTTAAAGGAACACCAAATTATGTAACTTCAAGAGGTAATGATAACAGTGTTTACACTAGAATTATGATTTTTTAATTACTACTAGTTATTAATAATACTTATAAAAGCGGATACTCAGTTTGTAACTATGTCTCCTCAGTGAATTTGGTTGACACCATTGTTATGGTTTTTGAGTTATCATCTAATACAAAAGAAGCAGAAGAAAGAAGAACAAACATTCAGACTTTTTGCTATGATGTTTACATACATTCACAGAACTTGTGACTCAGTCATTGCATAGATATTGTTATAAAAGGAAACACTGTACAGTATTGTAGAGTTCTGATGATTTATTGAGGAGATATTTAAAATACCATTTCGAACATTCTGTGACATCCCTATATAAGCAGCGCTACCGCCTGCCTGATATATCATAAACTGAGCCTGTTTCCTAAAACTTAACCCTTATTCCCAATGATCGTATAAACGTTCTCTGAATATTTTCCTGTAAAACTTAAATAAGTGTTGCTAATTTTAGCAGACTATTAAAAAAAATCCAAATGATTTTAGCGAAATTCAAATATATTTAAACTCGTTTTTTGCCAGTTTACGAAAAACATTTTTAAAACTACTTTTATGATGAACTCGAGATTGTAAACTCTTATATTTTTTGCCAGTTTACGAAAAACATTTTTAAAACTGCTTTTATGATGAACTTGAGATTGTAAACTCTTCTTTTTGCCAGTTTACGAAAAACATTTTTAAAACTACTTTTATGATGAACTTGAATTTTTGCGCTTACAATTTTAATAAATGTTTTTGGAAAACTTAATTTCGAGCTTTGAAATATTTATAGTGTTAGTTTCAGTACGAATTATGAAAATTTGAGACTTTTCATAAGTTCGTATGCGAAGTCTTGCAAAACTGCATATTCTTTTCGGTCTGCACATGATATTTTAAAACCCAGTTCTTACGGAACATTATCTTCTCTCGTCTTATTTCAGCAGGGAGAGCTTTCTAAGTCAGAAGAATTCCATCAGTCGGAAGAATTCCATTTTTCCCGACTGATCTTCTAATTGAAAACAAGAGTTCCACCATAATCTGTAGGAGGTGTTTCATTTTCTAAACTATAAAAGATATTGTTGTGACTATTATCTTCTTTTTTTTCCATTATAGCAAACTTGTAAATAGAATTTATATAACATTATGCAAAATAACGTTAGTTATGCAGACATATTTTTTCACCATTTTGGTAAGCTTATGTTAGAGTCTACTTTTTTAGAAATGTGATTTTTGATTTATAATTTAGTTATAGAAATATTTTCCTGATGCGAGTTATTTTGGTACGAGTATTGTTGTTCTAAGGCTGCAATTAAAATTTCTATTTTAGATTTTGATTTTCGAAAACAATCAATTTACGTTTCTAGGATATAGCTGATTAAAATTATTTAAATTTTGAATTCGATATTTTCTAAATCTTATTTTATGGGTAAGGATTCTCAAATTTAAACATCTATCATTTCCAAAGTGTTTCAATTATTTCATGTACCACAGAATAAACATAACTACAATAAAATAACTTTAATCTAAAGATGTTCTCGGTTATTAACTACTTTATTCTATTGTACCCAAACAAGCAAATTAAGTGAAGTTTAATCTAAATTCGCCAGTGATTACCAGAATAAACTCAGGAATCTAAATTCGCCAGTGATTACCAGAAGAAACTCAAGAATCTAAATTCTCCAGTGATTACCAGAAGAAACTCAGGAATCTAAGTTCGCCAGTGATTACCATAAGAAACTCAAGAATAAAAAACATCGTGATTTATTTGTTACGTTTCTCCGTTATTCACCGTTTCGGTATCTTAAGATCTAGATACAACTTAGACTAAACATTAGTTCCGTTGTAATTTTATAAATGATAAGTTGATTAGTCTAACAACCAAAAGAGTTATCCGCCTGTAAAGGAAACTGAGTTATACAATACAATTTGAAATTAACTCTAATTCCAATTAACTTAATTTCGACTTTCTCCTCTAATAAAAAGTTCTCAGGCCTTTGAAGAAATAGATTAAAACTATGGTAACTTTTCAAATAGTGATAATCATTTGCTACATTTCTTGTTTCGTATTTTATTTGAACTGATCCGGCTTTTGATAACTTACGACAATCAATGCAATTATATAAATAAAATGAAATAAATAAACATTATTTCTTAGCACAATTTCATAGATTAAATTTATACTTAAAAACTCAATTGTGGTTTTCCTATCTTCAATCGGTAATTCCCTAAATATTAATATTCTTTGAAACTCTAAAAATATTTTGAAATTCGCTAAAATTACTTCAGATTGTGAAAAAAAAAGAGATAGTAATGCCAAATTCTACAGAACAGAATTGATAAAATTTCATAATTGTATGAAGTTTAATGTGAAATGCATAGGTTATTCAAACCTTAAGTAAATGATTTAAATGTACTGATGCAGTGACTTATCGACACAGGTGCGATACGAGACGCCAGAGGCGGCATATTTAGCACATGCAGATTAGGTTTTGAAGTAACCATTTAGCTACTCGGGTATAGTTGAAGGGTTATAAAAAACAAATAGAAATATTCATACACCATGATTTTTTAAGGTCGACATTTTAAATAATGTAGTTAACTCGCACATATAGAACAGTGGCAGGTTTCGAAACTATAATCAACACAATTCGGAGCATCGCAAAATAAACGACTGTGATAACGAAAGAAATATTTCTGATTCAAAAATTAATTAAGACGAAACTGGGAACATATCCGTTAACGATGTCCTGGACAAGAACCTGAACCCGACAAGAGCTCATAAGTTTTCAAAGACACTAAGAAACTACAGTTGGTTTCATGAGAAAGATAACCAAAGAAACTGGAATCCCGACAAACCTGTTCAGCTGCATAGCCTTGGAGTGTACCGATCCAACTTCAACTGACTTTTGTATCTTTGGCCTGATGGAACGTTGTTTTGGAAGCCGATGACCACTTATAGAGGCCGTGTGGAAAGTCTGTCAAGATGTGTTATCTAGGATTCAGGGGTGGACTGGACTTTAAATTTTTACTGGGAAAAATCTAGAAGGAACCCACAAGTTTCTCATGAAAATAACGAAGCTACACATTTTTCTCACCTGCTATGATTGATCTTACTATCCTTTGCAGAAACTTTTTACAATGGAAGTTGTGGTGTTGGTCAGTAGTTTGCCATCATCGTCGTCTGACTGGACAATATTGAACTTCCTTCTTATAACATTCTGTAGTTCTCACTGAAAGTTCATTTTCACACATATTATGTTTTATTCCAAAATAAATTAAGACGGTAATTGCTTGTGCAGTGACTTTATTTTACGGCTTTTTTAATAAACCATACATAGGCGACGAAAAAGAGACTCTTAAAAGACTTTGTTGGTGAAATTATTTAGTATGAAAAATGTTTCAAGAAGCTCGCTCATAACTATTGCAATGATCAGTTTTGGACAGAAGTACGTCGTGTTGTTAACTTGTAATATGTTATTGTACTGTTTAGTTAGATAAATATTTTCTACAATTCTATATGATTATGCATTACAATATTGCTCAATACACACACATATATATATATACTTTTTTAAAGCATTTCAGAAGAGCATAAATATCAATTAAACATAATCTTTTCGAATATTAATTGGGGTAGACCATTATGTAGCTTAGCGCTTAAACAGAAAAAAAACACAACATAATCTGTTGTACTTACTTATGTCATTCTTATTGAATATTAACATGAAACTTTATAATATATATATATATATAATCTTAGAAAACATCTTGCTATGTAAAATATTTTCGCGCATTCTAATATTATCTATCAGTCCTAAAAGTATCAAAAATATATAAATTACTCTGAATATAATAGGAAATTATCACCTCGCATTTTTAGGTTGTCCAAATTCAACGTCCCCCAGTGGCACAGCGGTATGTCTGCGGACTTACAACGCTAGAAATCGGAGTTTGATACCCGTGGTAGGCAGAGCACAGATGGCCCATTGTGTAACTTTGTGTTTATCTTCAAACTTAACCTAACCAAATTCAACATATATTTACAATAAAGCCTGTTGTTAATTGACTGTCGCGCTTTCACCATTTCTTTTATTAACGAATATTTACGTTTATTATAAGAACTGGTCTAAAACACGCCTAATATTTCTGCAGAAACACAAGCCTAAGTTCACTTTTTGGTGTTGTTGTTTTTATTTGACAAGTTTAGTTCAGATCCAGTCAGAAGTTAAGTGATTGTGTCACATGTGCATTACACAAACATTTACGCAACTGAACTACAAAGCTACTTTGAACGACTTTAAAACAAAACATGTAGGAAGAAGTGATGTGCTTTCGACATGACAGTCTTACATATTATTTAAACGATTTTGGAGCCTTACCATGTCGTCACAGTCAATGTCGTCACATCCAGTCGTGATATATCTGACAATCACGCATCTTGACAACAGCCCTTTAGCGTAGTTTTCATTGAAAAAGGCTCCGTTGTACGACTGTCACGTCCAAAGCAAACCCCTCCTCTCTGCGAGCCTTCCATAAGTCATCTATTGTACGAAGACGACAGTTCCCCAATGCACGTTTCAAGTTCGTTCACACAGAAATTTTTAAGCGCTGCGTCCTACGTCTTGACCGGTATGTTTTCGTGTGGAATAGCACAAATACTCGTTTTATTAATCAGCTGTTTGAAGTACGCGAAGATTGAATAAATAGGTCATGGATATAACTTGTGTACACGTGATATGAGTCGTTTTTCGTTCTTACAGATTAATATTCTACTTGGTAATGTTGTATATTATTGCCTGGGGCACGTGGACGCATTTTGCCACTGACCTTTGTATTCATGTATTCTCACCCGTTACAAGACGTCGCACTTTATTTACCACAGCTGGGGTACGACTTATTATGGGTTTTTTCTGGATAGTTCTGGTTCCTCAAGTTAGTCCATATTCTTTTTTTTTCCAGTGCTGTTAAGTACAATGGATATTCCCGCTTTGTAAGTTCCAAATCTTCGATCTGAACACATCTTTATGATCTGAGTGTATGAATTTTTAGTATAGAAAAAGCCTGTTGCAAACCATTTCTAAAAGGTATCACTTTTCGCTGGCTTCACACTATTTACGAAATGCCAAAATGTAGTTCTTATAAATTCAGTTTCACCGCGACTATATTTTGGATGTGATTGTCATGTAACTTTCGGATTACTGTATAAAAGTTATTAATATATCATCATTAATATGTTATAAGCAAAATGAATGTTTTCAAGGTATGTATAATACGTACACTAAAGATCGGGGTAATAATATACCTTTAAGCTCCATTTTATCTCATTACCAACAGTGAAACGGAAATACTGATAACTTGCGTTATCAACAGCAAACAGAACTACCAGTATATTTTCCCTCTTAACCACGTCTCCACTATAATTATACTCTGTTATGTTTTGTGTAAGAACAATCAAAAATGTTCATGCACATACCTCTCATATCTGCATGCAGTAGTAGTGACTATAGTAACGACCTCTGTGATACATAAGTTCATGATATGTGATAAATATCTTAATGCAAATATTGAGAATATTTCGTATATCTAGAGATTAAGAACGCTTCCACTCAGGACAATAAAAATATAAGTTGGGTTGTTTGACCCCACAAGTTAATGACCTCAAAAGGGCACTACTAACTTTCATCCTTCTTCTTTTTCATGGAGTCTTATCTCTTGTCAACAATAACGGGGTTGACGAGTTCTTGGTCTCCATTCTCAAATATCAGAGTTCTTGAAGAAACAATGTCAGTATCATATGACACATTCTATATAATGAGTGTACCAAATGCCTGGGCTCAAACGGAAATATGATACTGTTTACTATTGGACGTAGATATAAAACCTACAATTTGAGGAACAGGGAATAAAAAATAGTCGTTTTTATTATCAAATTTAAACATTTGCAGTTAAGTCTGATACATTATGTTCACATTCTCCCACTGATTATGCTTTACAGGCTGATCTTTAAAAAAATCCTTAAAGTAATTG